GATTATTAATAATAGTTCTATATCTTATTAATATTTATAAAATGCTAATTCCCCTGTAAGAGACTACTAATTTTCTAAGGATTAGTCTATTTTATAGATATAGGCTACCTTTATCTTTATTAGATTAATCTATTATATTTTATAGTAGATTCCTTACCTAGTCAACAGGCTTTCTACCCTGACAAGTAGATCCTATCACAAATTTTTAAATTAAGATTATAATTTCTTAAAAAATTATCTTACTTCTAGATTTTTATTATTAATAAAATAATACTATTTTTATTTCTATGCAGGATCTATATAACTGATAATAATAAGTATCTTATACTTTTTAGATAAATATTTTATAAAAGCTTCTTAAAATATATATTCTAAATCAGTAATTTATTCTTAATATTTTTAAAGATTAAAATTTAAAGCAAAGCAGAAGATATCTTTAAATTTAATCTTTTTTTTATCTTTTTCTAATTTAGAAAAAAATTAATAATATCTAAAAAAGATCTTATTCAGAGAACTATTTCTTTAAAAAGAAATTATTTTCTTTTATAAATTAATAGCTTGTTTTAATTAATAAATATAATTTTTTAATTATTAAATCTTCTTAGTAATAGGAATAGTATTTAATAATAATTCTAGACTAATATTATTATTAAATATCTTTTATTCTTTACTGTTTTTAAGGGGTGGCATCTTCCTTAAGTAATTAAAATAAAAAAAATTAAAATATAATAAAATCTACTTATTAGAGTAGAAGACCTGTTAAATAGATAAGAAATTAATTACTAAATATAATAGATTTATTTAATAATAATAAAGATAGTCTATATCCACAGGATAAACTAATTCTTGAAGGATCAGTAGTCTCCTATAAGAGAATCAGTATTTTATAAATATTAATAAGATGCAGAACCACTATTAATAACCTCATGACTCTTATAATTGCCTTAATATATTATTCTGATGTCCATGGCTCTGTCAGCTGGGTTATTCTATCACATTTTTATCATAAACAGTGGAAATCTAAAAATAATATAATAAATATTAATAATAATAATCTACTAGAAGGTCTACTCATAGAAATATTATTAATAATTATATATTTATAATAATTCTTTCTCTAATATCTATTTAATAATTTATTTAGAGATATACTAAAATATTTATTTTTTATAGTTTTTATAAAAATAATAATTCATAGAACTAGTCCCGGAGTGATTAACTGCTGGATGCTGTAGAATATATAAATATATAATATAAAAAATATAAAAAATACTATCAGAAAATAATATATTTTTTTAAAAATAAATTTATATTATTATTATCTTTTCTTAATTAAAGTAAAAAAATAGCTTCTAGTCTTATATATAAATTTAACTAAAAATAATTATCTTCTATTAATTATAAAAGATAAGAGTCTTTTCCAGGAAAGCTAGATATAAAATAATTTTCTGATTTTTTATAATATATTTAATATTAAAATTTAAAGAGAAAAAAATAATATAAATTAAAAAATTATTCTTTATCCAGCTATTATTATAATTTATAAAAATCTGTAAGATAAAGAAAAAGAATTTAATAATATTTTCTGAGAATAGATTTAATGGTTATAATTTATTTATAATAAGTTATTTATTTATATAAGAAATTAAAGAAAATAAAAAAAAGAAAAGCTTAATTAGTATAATATTATTTTATTTCTAAATATATATTAATATAAATATGATCTATTACATTTATATATATTAAAAATATCTAATAATAATAAATTTTTATTAAAAATATTTTTTAATTTTATTTATAAATGAGAGTTTGCAGCATCCAGTAAATATTATATAAAATATTTCTAATATAATAAATAATTAGGTTTTATTAAATAATACAAGAAGAAATTCTATAAAGATATTTTATAATTATTATAATAATATTATTAATAAAGTTTATAAAAGTTTTTTATAGATTTTATTTAGAGAATACTGCCTGAGTCTTTATATTTATAATTAATAAATTATAGAAAATATAGATTTTTAAATAAATTAAATAAGTAAAGTTGCATGGAATATTATAATTAAATAATATAGATAATTTATAGTTTTTAGACTTATTATAAATACTTAAACAGTATTTTAAATATATAAAAAAATAATAAATCTATTTATTATTATATAAAATAATTTTCAGAGAGATTTACCAGCCTGGAAGATTAGTTTAAAAGATATTAATAATTTATTAATAATATATAATAAAAATAAAATTATAAATATATATATTTATTATTATTTTATATAATAAAAATAATTTTTTTTTATAAATTTAATTATTATTACCATCTAAGGTAATATCAGATTAAATAAATAAAAATAAATAAAGTACACTATTTTCTTTCTTCTAATTATTTTTAGAATTAAGAAAATTAATTTTATGTTGGTTATTAGTAAAGATATAAATAATTAAAATAAATAATTTTTAATCTAAGTATATTTTATTTATATTAAGATTTAAAAGAGTATAGTAAGTAGATCTTAATACTAAGAATAATCAAGATAATTAATTATCTTATTTTTAGCTGTTCCGTGGTTAGGTATAAGAAAATCTTATATCTAACTATTAATCTGACAGCAAGTATAAATTTTTCCATTAACCTATCCTACCCTGGCCGTTAACCACTCTACAGGGAATCTATCTATATAAATTTAATTAAATACTTATAAAACTATATAGAAATGGTATATGATTTTTTTTATATTATATATTTTATAAATCTTTTATTTTTTACTATTAGATCTCTACTATTTTGAATTAGAAATATATAAGATTATTTTTAATATTTGAGCCAGATGGCTCGTCCTAGTAAAGAAAAATATTATTTATAATAGAATAATCTAGTTACTCGAATAAAAGTTATCAGAATAATATATTATAATAGCTATAAAAGTTATAAGATTATTAATAGAGATTTTATAATTTCCTGATACTTATAAGATATTAATTTTTATATAATAAGTTACTGATTTTTCAAGGATCAGTTTATCTCATGGATATAGGCTATCTTTATTATTATCAGATAAATATATAGTATTTAATAGCTGATTCCTTACCTAGTCAACAGGCTTTCTATCCTGACAAGTAGATCCTATCACACTTAATTAATTAGTTAAAATAATCTTAGAAATATTTATATAATTTATAACTGTTAGATTAATTATTATTTTATTTATATTTCTCTGTATTATTTCATTCTATTTCTATGGTAAATAAGGAACATGTTTTTATATAATAATTAAAAATAAATAATAATTTAATAAAATATAATAAAGCCCCTTCTTTCTCAACTTAATAAAAAATATTATTTTAAAATATTAAAGTAGGTATAAAACTTTCTTAAATCTTGATTATATTACTAATAAGTCTATTTAAAATAAATTATAATATCTGATTAAAGAGTAATAATATTCTAAATTAAAATTATAATTACTTAAGAAATTATCTTATTTCTAGATTTTTATTATTAATAAAATAATATTATTTCTGTTTATACAGGATCCATATAATTAATAATAATAAAAATCTTATATTTTTTTAATAAATATTTTTTAGAAGCTCTCTGAAACATATATTTTAGATTAATAATTTATTTTTAATATTTCTAGAGATTAAAAGTTTAGAATAAAATAAAAAATATTTTTAAATTTAATCTTTTTTTAATTCTTTTTTAATTTGAAAAAAATAATACCTAGAAAATATTTTATCTAGAAAATTATTTTTTTTAGAGATAGACTATTCTTCTTTATAAATTAGTAGCTTATTTTAATAATTAAATATAATTTTCTAGCTATTAGATTTTCTCAGCAGTAGGAATTATATTCAATAATAATTTAAGATTAATATAATTACTAAATATTTTTTTATTATCTCTAAGGAGTAGCATCTTCCTTAAATAATTAAAATAGAAAAATCAGAATGTAATAAATTTTACTTATCAAGATAAAAAACCTGTTAACTAGATAAAAAATTAATTATTAAATATAATGAATTTTTTAATAATTATAAAGGTATCCTATATTTACAAGATAAATTAATTCTTGAGAAATTAATAGTTTATTATAAAGAGATCAGCATCTTATAAGTATCAGGAAAGTATAGAATCTCTATAAATAATCTTATAATTCTTATAACTATTGTAATACGTTATTCCGGTGCCCGAGGCCCTGATAGCTGGGTTATCCTATCACACATCTATACCGCCCCTTTGTACTTTGAACGACACTGTTCTAACTAAAGGGTTGGTTCCTAGTCTAGACTCGCAGTATGACGCCTAGGTTAGTAGAGGAGAGCCTTGCGTTTCGTATAACAGGTGCATCTGTCCTAAAACGGAATGTAATGTTAGCTCCTTGTCTCGCAACTGTCCAGTCCAAAGGCTAGAATGAATCTGCGCCGTCAGAGAACTACGGTAGTACCTGCGAGGCTACCCTATCCATCACTGTAAACAGTTGAGTCTCCGCGAAAGATCGCAAACTTGATTTTGCTATGTTTTATCCGAAGTATCTTGGTGGAAAGGATCATCTGCTCATTAACTAAGGCTCAAGTACACTCACGTCGAACCCTTTGATAGGGGTCTGCTCTGTAAGTCTGGGGCGTTTATGATTGATATTACTCGGAATAGAAAGTATGAGTCGACTGCTGCATGTTCGACTATATATCTCTGTATTTAGGCATTTTAATTTCCTCTACCGAACAGAGAGTATGAAGATCGCCACAATGCATCTTGCCACTCCTTATCGAAGGTAATACGAAGCTCGCAAGCCACACAGTAAATAGAGTTTTTTAGCTGTCGGAGTGACTGTCCAGCCGGCCCCGACTGTGTCTGTCTCCACTGCTGTCCGGAAGTGGCAATGCCGAAATCCAAAAATGACAATGAGATGGGTCGACCCACTAGAGCCATGGTTTATATGCCATAACGTTTAAAGGCGATTGCATATGGTGGTATTAAGGATAGAAGAAACCGTCTTTCCTGTGGTTCGACTGGCATTCTTTTTTGCCTGTCGTGTTACAGGATTAAAAGTCCAAGCAAGTTATACCCCTTATTCCATCCACATCAACATGACAGGCAACGTTTCAATGGTAACGGGCGCGAGCGGCTTCATCGCCAGCCACGTTGTCCAACAACTTCTTGAAAATGGCGACCAGGTCCACGCAACCGTTCGCAGTACTAAGAATAACAAGAAAATCGGACACCTCCTCGACATGCAAGAGCGATGGCCGGGCAAGCTGTATTTATTCGAAGCAGATTTGCTTGTCACTGGTTCATTTGAAGCCCCAATGAAAGGATGTTCGGTGGTGTATCATATCGCCTCGCCGTTTTTCATCGAGAACAAGATTCGCGACGGCCAGAAAGAGGTTGTTGAGCCGGCTCTGAAAGGAACGCAGCATGTGCTTGATGCAGTCGACAAATGCGAGTCCGTCAACCTGGTGGTCTTGACCTCGTCTGTCGCGGCCATCTTCGGTGATAATGCCGATGTGCTAGGAATGAAGAATAAGACGCTCTCCGCGGACTATTTTAACACGACGAGCTCGGTCACCCACAACTCCTATTCTTATTCAAAAGTGGTCGCTGAAAAAGAGGCCTGGAAATTGTACGAAGCCCAGCCAACGCCCCGGCGCTGGAAGCTAGTCACCATAAACCCGGGGCTGGTCCTGGGACCATCCTTATCCCCCACCTCCGAGTCCGGCAGTCTGGCTTTACTGGATCAGCTCTTACGCGGACAGCTCTTTCTGGGTGTGCCTGATTTGTGGTTCGCAATTGCGGATGTACGAGACGTCGCAACTGCGCATATTCGAGCGGCCCGGAATCCAGATTCTCATGGCCGCTATATTCTGGCCGACAAGACAACACATGGTTTTGTTGAGCTCGCTCGCATTATTCGGTCATTTACACAGTCCTTTACGATTCCGAAGACTACAATCCCGAATACCTTAGTACGCATGTCTGGGCCAGTACTTGGATTCAGCCAGAAGTGGCTGCGACTCAACCTCGGGATTTCCTTCAACATTGATAATTGTCCCAGTGTGAATGATTTGAATATTGTGTATAGACCACTAGAGCAGACATTGTTGGATCATTATCGGTCTTGGAAAAGTGCCCAGACAGCGTCACTCTAGTTTTTTGGCCATCCAATATCCAGAATTACTTGCTTCTCATAACAAGCTGTGAAGGCACGCATCCATTTCCCATGGCTTTTTTTTTATTTTCTATTTTTCTCGTTGTGGTTCACTTCGGCCAACTGTTCATATCCCCGGGGCATACAGTTCGGACAGGTTCCAGGTTTAGTACGATAGGTTCAGAACACCAAGAAATGGCTTAGAAGATATGTTTTTACTAAGCTAGCCTAATCATACTTATCAATAATTATAATAACATTATGGGTATATCTCTAGACTCTAGTTTTAACACTCTATTTGACCGTCAGTTGGATACTTCAAATAATTATTTATTACTAATAGGCTGGCTCGGTGCATCATTTTTATATAGCCTTTTCCCCTATAACGCTATTAGCTAGTTACTCCATATTTAGTATCTTTTATACTGAAATATATCACATAAGCTTAGTCGGAGAGGTGTTAGTTCGATGTGAACTCTCACAAGTGTTCGAAGGAGACCTAGACAGCGCCCGGAATTCCGTTCAAAATAGCAAGGAAACATGAGAACCGCGGCCTACGAGACCTTTAAGGATTTGAAACGTGTCGAGGGGTCCTCTACAAGTAGCAGTCAGTGGTGTTTAATCTTGTCCAGGGTGCTTACGAAAGAACAGCATGAAGCTGTTTTATGCGGCGGTGGTGTCCTTCGGAAAGGCCCCCCTGCAATCTGAAAGGATGCGCTAAAGTTTTTGAAAGAATACTGTAAAAGCTGGGAGCTGTATAAAAATGCCTTCCCGGACGTTTGTCCCAAGAGGGGTACGCTATCTCTCCCGACACAATTGCCATTTTCCTGAGTTTGAGAGAGTTCCCAAGTATATTCAACATCTTAGATGAGAAGCTTTATTGGGCCTTGATAAACTATCTTTATATCCTCCGTATCTGCGTCAGAATTATCCCTTTACTTACAGGTGATTTCTAATTGCTTAAATACATCCGATAGTTATTTACGCAAAAGAATCAAAGCTCATGGCGCATACGGAAGTAAGCCCGTAGCTATACGCTGGATCTGGTCCCGGAAATACCGCTTTGTTATATCAGCACTAATCCATCAACCATCGGCGGATGTAAACTTACCGTCTCTGCCCCTCCACCTAACATGCGCATCTTGAGTAGGCTCACCAAGAAAATAACTTGCACTTTGGAGAATACCACCCGCGCTTCTTGATCCGTGTACATATCGTCCATCATGAGTCGCGGGAAATCTGGCTTCAGCACTGCTGGACGGCCGATGCCGACCAGGTCGCATGCGCCGCTGTTCAGCGCGCCCTCGATTCCTTTCCGGGTCCGGAATCCTCCAGTGAGAAGGAGAATCAGGTCTGGGAACTGCTTTCTTGTATGTCTTGCAAAGTCTAGGAAGAAGGCTTCGCGGGATTCGGTACTTTGGCTTTTGCCGCGGCTGGATTCGTCGCGGACACCGCGGCCCATCATCTGTTTTTGTTAACCCTATTAGTGGGTTGATCTATATTTTCTAGAACTGGATTATTGTTTATCATTCTGTGGATGCGTACAGTTGGGTCTTCGTATGATCCACCAGATATTTCAAGGAAATCGATACCGGCGTCTGCGAAAAGACGAATTTGAGTCATTGTGTCTTCACATTCTGATGTGTTAAGATCAGCGGAGTTCAACTTGATCCCGATGCAAAAGTTTGCAGGAACGGCATTTCGAATTTGTTGGATGATCTCGAGGACAATACGCGCTCGCCGCTCTGCGCTGCCGCCATATTCATCTTGACGGATGTTGCTCTGTTCGAGTAAGCACACATATTAAGGAAACTGTAGTTCATCCGTGGGTATATCATGCTTACTCGGGGTGAGAGAAATTGCGCTATATCCAGTATCAGTCAACTGTGTACGCACGCTCATAATACCAGCATAAACTGAAGAAAGTAAAGCTTACACAAAAGGTAACCATGCGCCGCGTGAATCTCGATTCCAGAAAAGCCACAATGAGCGAGAATGCGAGCACATGTTACAAACTGGGCAGTCACGCAGTCTATTTCAGAGCGCGACATTGCCTTTGGGACCCCGAAAATAAGATCCCTGATAGCATTCGCGACCCAACCACTTCCTACATCAAGTGGCACTTCGCTTGGAGCTATCGTTCTTTCGAAGAAGCCTCGTTCTCCGGCCCCTCTCGGTGACTGCCGGCCTGGATGACATATTTGAGCGATGGCAGGGGTGCCGTGCTTTTGACAGCTTTCTGCGTATCGCCTCCATGTATCCATTGACTGGTGATCATTTTCATGAGACTCACTCGTGGCTAGATCGCCGTTGCCTCCTAGGTGACGAACATCGACCTGTACGTTTCCTTCTATGGTGTTAGATTTTAAGCCGAATTATTTCGGGGTCGTTGAATTGTACCAGTGAGAAGAGCACCCCATCCGCCGTTTGCCCATTCGCCGTAGACTCGAGATATCCTTGGGCCTGGTAGGTGGCTTCCTTCTGCTAGTCCTTCGGCCATAGCAGCCTGGACAAGGGTATTAGTTACTATAGAATCCGTAGAGTGGTCATCCGCGGTACCTTCACTAAGCGATTAGGAAAAACCAACCCACATGGTAGCCTAAGGGGTTCCTTGATAGCTGTGCTCATCCTCGAAAAACTATGTTTTGTCAATATTTATTGGATTGATTTCCCGTCCCATCCAGGCAAGCGATCCAAAATATAGTCAGTGTTGGTATTGATTCTCTCGATCTGAACCTTAGAGAGAGAAAGAAAACTGGAAAGCCTAGGATCTAAGGTACTGCCGAGGTATTCGTCGGCCATGATTATCAATTTGCTTCTGCTTTTCGGGTTCCTATCCAAACCTCATATGGCTGTGACGGATAATACGAGATTCATGCTGAGAAGATCCACTTTGGAGTGCGGACCCACCCAAGGCTTGTCAGTTATCAATTTATCACGGACATCGGACCAACAATCCATCCGCCACAAAGTTCGATGGCGCCATAAGTGGAGACTGAACTGCATCATTAGCTGAACCCTATTTTTCCCATGCTACTCCTTCTTTCCGCATGGCAGTTTTGCTCGGTCTTTATATCTTTTTTATTTCATGAAATTATGGCCGTATTTGTGCAATGGCAATAGAGCGGATTGAGCACACATTGTCGTTCTATACTACCTGAAGAAGGGAGCAAATTTTCTTCTTATTCTTCTACACAGGGTGGGTATCCTTGTATTTTGGTATGCGTCAATTGACTTTATGAAATGTAATTAGCTGGTGTCCCAATGAGATCCTGCAAGAATTTCAAAAAATTGTAGTAGAATTAGCCTGACAGAAGAACTTCCTAATTATACAGCGAAATTATATTAATCAAACACAATCACAGACTTGCCAACGCCTCCCTTCCCATCATACACTACTTGACAAGCATCCCGGACTGCCTTAATATCATTAAAACTTGCTTTCGTTCCCACAACCGTTTTCAACTTCCCGGCCTCCACCCATCCCCGAATTGAATTTAAATCAGCCGCATTTGGTTCCAAGAAGATGGATGCGTATTTGACCCCATAACGAGATGCACGAGCTACTCGGATTCGATCCATCACGTTCAGTGCAATCCGGAGAGGGAAGGGGACTGTTGCTTTATCGTTCTTGTCGGGCGACCGGCGCATAACGCTTGAATTTTGAAGAACGTCTCCAGAGGTCAATATAGAGACTGTAATAATGGCTCCTTTCGGTCGAACTAGACTCAGATATTCCATTGCACTACCCGTCGTGTCGAAGATGAAATCGACAGATCCCTTGGGGATGACTTCCTTAGGATCGGACTTTCTGTAGTCAATGACTGAAAACATTTGTGAGTCTTCTGGTAATATCAATCAGACCAGGGTCAGTGTCTACTTACTCTCGTCTACTATCCCCTCTCCCAACAGCTCTTTCACCTTGGGAACCTTCTGGGTGGAAACCGTAGTAATCACCTTGCCGGCTTTGAAGATATTTTTTGCGAGCTGGCATGCGAAAATGCCAGTTCCACCAACTGTGTCAAGGTTAATTAAGTATTTAGCCTGTGATAACCGAATAGGGACCTTACGACCAGCGGGTATGAAAACCGTCTTACCCGCGAGATCGCCTTCGTAGCCACGCAGCGCCTGCAGGGATGTCATGGCCGCTAATGGAACTGACGCGGCGTCTTCCATAGACAAATTCTTCGGCTTCAATGCGACAAAGTCTTCAGTCGATCGGGCGAGCTCGCTCCATGATCCGCGGTGGCATTCTGGTAATCGCACGAAGACCTCGTCACCGGCCTGAAACCGTGTTACCTGAGATCCAATGTTGACCACCGTGCCGGCACAGTCGTAGCCAATTTTATACGGAAAGCTGCTCATAGAAGTTAGACCAGAAAAATTGTCATGGCGATTAAGTTCGTACCTATCCTTCAGAACCATTTTCGTTGCCCCCGAGGCTTTCTTCACATCTATCGGGTTGATGCTGGCGGCATGAACCTTGATCAAGATGTCGGTGGGCTTCTCCACGACCAGCGAGGGCACATCGCCCAGCTGGTATTGGCCGGGCGCCGTATGTTCTGTAATGTAGACAGAACGCATCTTGGTTGGTAGCAGGAGAGCGAATTGCTTTGAGTCCAAACGTGTTAAGGAATGGAATGCCTGTTAAGTAAGTCAGGAAGTGGCGGTGCATCAGCCAATCGTGCCGAAAGCTTATTTGAGTCGGCGTTTTAATCTGCCCGACGGAAGCGGAGGTTAAGTTACGTTGGACCCTTTTCTTAGTCATAGGTATTGATCCCAGGAAATTCGTTTCCGAATACAAGCATTTTCACCCGATTCTCTAGCCCACCCAGCAGGCCGTGTCTGTCATCAGATGTAACTCACTGTTCGAGAATACAACGCAATCATACTCGCGACCAGCAGACAGGTGTAGTAACAAAAATGGAGAAACTTGACCCTCACTACTCCTACGAAAGACATGGATGAACGACCTCGCTCAAGCCGTTGCTTTTCTAGATTCGCTTAATCTCGCACACGGCGACCTACAACCCGAAACCATTTACTTGATCGCGATTGATTAAAACTGACAGATTTTGAAGCATGCATCGCCCCGATTTGCCTTGTCTATAACGTTCTAGAATACTAAAGAGCAATTGCTCTGCTTAGAGATTATAGGCGATTTATCGCATCTGTAGTAAGTATACGCGTCAAGTAAAATTTGTGATCAAAAAGGCAAGCAAAAGTCCAACAAAACCACCCAACCAGTAGGAAAAACCTACCTACAGTTTATTCACATTTCTTAACACCTCCTCCATCTCGTCCGCTGCCTTCTCATAGACTCTTGACCGAAGCGTTTTCTCATGCTCCGTCTTACCCAAATGGTCCCAATAGTGCGGCACATTCTCGACCACTTCACACTCAACATGCTTTCCCGCGGCTTCGAATTGAGCAGCCGCCGCTTTCCCTTCCGCCAACAAGGGGTCTAAGCCAGCAAGTTTGACATATATGTGATTCGGCAACGCCCTGCTCATCATCTCCAACGGGGCTAGTCCTGGCGAAATCCAGATCTGGCTTTTATCGATTGTATCGGGCAAGTTCCAGAAATACGCGCGGTCAAAGATATCGCCTATCAATTTGGACGAGGAGGCGGGTTTCTTTTTCAAAGCCATAAATGCCGGGTTCGATGCTGCGCGCTGAGCACGGGTTTTCGTGAGGTCCATAGGCGGGTAGAATGCTGTTATGGCTTTGACAGTGCCTAGCGAGGCGCGATCAATCTGCGGATGTTCATGCTGGGCGAGAGCCTGCGCAAGCCAGTATTGAGACGCGAACGCCATCTGCCCACCGACGCTGAACCCCGTGATGAACGTGCGGTGTTTGTCGACTCCCATTGCTGTAGCATTCTTCCAGATGTAGAGCATGGCGTCCACGCAATCAAGTAAAGGTACCGGGTAGGCGTGCTCTGGCGCGAGGCGGTAGTTGACAGCTACCACGACGGCTCTACCGCGCTGCGTGACTGTCTCGATGAAGCGTTCGTCATGGCGCGCGTGGCCTACGCACCATCCGCCTCCGTGTAGTACGATCACTACAGGGTAGGGGGCTTCTCCTTTCTCCGTGGAGGACTGGTTGTATCCGGGAGGGTGGTAGATGTGTAGGTCGAAATTGCCCGGGGAGGCGGACAGGGTGGAGGGGATGGATATTTGGGAGGTCGGGGTAATTGTTGAAACTGGATGTCTTTTGCGATCTAGCCAGGCTAGAAGTCGAGTTAGCCATCGAAGGATGCGTAGTTTGGTGTGGAATGCGAGGGATTCGAATGCCATTGCGGTGGGAGGTTTGTTCTTTGTTTCCTTGGTTTAGGTGGGGGGGGGGGAATAGAGTAGAATGTCTGTATCAGGTTCGGATGGCTAGATTTATCGTCCATACTACGTACCTACGCCCACCACATGGGAACAGTAAGCATCTTGTACCGAGATAGAGATCCGAGAAATGCAGGTGATTGCAATAGAACTAGTTGGTCCACCTACTTAGGGGTGAAGAGCAGTCGGGCGAACAATCTCTCCGCCCACAGACCCACTACCGGTATCCATGGGGCTTGTCAAGCCGGAACTAAATTCATCAGTAATGTAATGCCACTGCAGAACTTTAATCTTCTTGCAATGCTTTAACCAAGCCTACTTCACATGAAGCTATCACCGTGGCCGGACTGGTGAATATCAGTCAACCTGTAGTATCTCATACACCAAACACCGAGAGTCCAGAGAATATGGTATCCCTTGAAGCTGTCCGCGCTCACAACAGCAATTTAGAAGATCTCGGCACGGGACTCGTTGCTGTATTTGGTGCGTTCAACCCCTCTTGAGACGCTGTAGCTGATGTTCCAGTCGGTGGTACGAGTGGAATTGGACTCTACGCTGCGCGTGAATTCGTCCGCCATACTTTATCTCCGACAGTCTATCTAGTTGGTCGCAACGAGATTCGCGCAACAGAGATCATTGACGACTTGAAGTCGCTGAATCTGAGCTCCCAGATTAGATTTCTCAAAGCGGACGTATCGCTATTGAAGGAGGTGGACTCGACATGTGCCGTGATTCGAAGCCAGGTCAACCATGTCAACGTGTTATTCCTCAGCTGCGGTATTTTTACGCTCAACCGTAGTAGAGAAGGTGGGTCTGAGAATCGAGTCGTCCCTAGACCTTAAATAGTTACCTTCACAATCTAATCTAATTCGCCATACATACAGACACTGCGGAAGGCCTCGACAAAAAGCTCAGTCTCCATTACTACGCTCGCATGCGCTTCATCCACAACCTAATGCCGCAGTTGACCCGCGCCAGCTGTATCCTTGGTTCTGAGGGTAGTCGTAACCTCTCCCGGGTTATATCCGTTCTAGGCGGTGGCCACGAAACAGAGCTATATCTAGACGATCTCGACCTGCAGAACCACTACGGGGTCGAGAATTGCGATATCCACGCAACAACCATGACATCCTTAACGGTCGAAGAGTTTGCGTCGCGGTATCCGTCGACGATATTTATCCACACGTATCCTGGGATTGTGAATTCGGGGATCTCTCGCGAATCGGGCCGATTCGTAGGCTGCATTGTCAAGGCCGTGATGTTTCTAGGTCGGCCGTGGATGTTGTCGGAGAAGGAGAGCGGCGAGCGGAGTCTTTTTGCGGCAACGAGTAGAGAGATCTCTACGTCTGCGAAGAGTACCACTGGAGATGGCAAAAGGAATGCTATGATACTGAACTGGGACGGGTCTGAGGTGGGCAATCGAAGGCTCCTCGAAGAGTATCGGAAAAAGGGTGTTGGTGATATGGTGTGGAAGCATACGGAGGAGATTTTTCTGAAGGTTTCCAAGGTTCCTTCTTGAAACTATGGACATCGGTAAGCGAAAGGTGCTGGTAAAGAGTATTTCATAGTCAATATTTGACAGGCACTGCCTGCTAGGTGGCCTAGAAAATCGGTCAGAAACGTTTCGTATTCTCTATCTACGAGTCCTGCGGTGGGCTCAGATTTTCAGTCGCCCAGTGTGGGTTATCTGATGCACTGGCTACATGCAACCTAGCGCCGCAGCCATACAACCGAGCTCGAACAATATTTGAATTACTGTCATAACGGTCAGGCAGGATGACGTGCACCCGAGATATGCAGAAATGCACGTTGCAGGGAATTATAGCTGTAATTGCAACTACATGCATACAATTACCGCTCGATATACAGGATGTGGCAAATCTCGGACGATTTGGGCTTAGATTATCAGCCCCTGAAGGCAAATTGTTCTCGGTCCTCGGTGATAATGCGAATTATGCGGATTATGCTTTCTACGGTCCCAGCCGGGGCGGCGGGATAACATTGCTCCCGTTGGGTATGTTCGGTTCGATATTCGTCCGAAGCAGCCAGACATAATCATCACTGGAAGGTATAACCCTACTGCCGAGGCAACTTTCTACACTTCTGGGCTCCCGAAACGCTTGCGATTGGATAATATATAACAATGGGACTCAATACAAGCATCTTCAATCACCAGATCGGATGGTTACCCAAATATGCCAGACGCAAGTCCTATCCACGCTAGCTCTCTTCCCTCTTACAGCCAAGTCGCTTGCATTGGGGCCGGAGCAAGTGGCATTGCGCTGGGAGCCACGCTGAAAAGATGGTATGGCTTAGAGGACATCCAATACTTCGAGCGCCAGGTCGACTGTGGTGGAACGTGGCATATCAATACCTACCCCGGTACGAGAATGATTATTTCTCAACCCGCTTCCGCCGTGACGATACTGATTGTTCGTAGGTTGTGCATGCGATGTGCCTAGTGCCTTATACAGCTTCTCATTTGCGCCGAACGCTCGCTGGAGCAAGCTGATGCCCTCGCAGAAAGAGATCAAGTCATATCAGGATGGCGTTGTTGCCGATTATGGACTGAGACAGAAAATGAATTTCTGCACAGAGGTCAAACAGTGTATATGGCGTGAAGATGCATCGCGATGGCTTCTGTTGCTGCGGAACGTCGATACTGGGGCAGAATGGGCACACGAATGCCAGGTCCTTTTTTCCGCTACAGGTCACTTTGCGCAGCCGCGATCGTGCAATTTCCCTGGATCTTCATCATTCGAAGGTGCCATGTTCCATTCGGCGCAATGGGACCACAGCGTCAGTCTAAAGGGCAAGAGGGTCGTGGTTATTGGAAATGGATGTGAGCTGCACTAAAACTGCTTTACCGGGGGTCTTCTCTCATTTTCCTTACGTCAATGTAGGCACCGCAGCGCAGATTGTACCTGCTCTCGTCAAGCAGACGAAGCATTTGACGCAGATTATTCGATCCCAACACTGGATCTTCCCTGCGACCAATTTCACCTACCCCAAGGTTTTGCAGTGGATCTTCCAGTACGTTCCTTTCGCAATGAAACTCCATCGATTGCATATTTTCCTGCTGGCTGAGAATGGCTTTCGCCTGTTTCCAATGACAGCTCGTGCCGCAAGGCTACGACAGAAGCGCAGAAGGGAGGTCGAAAAATATATGAGAGATACCGCGCCAGCCAAGTACAACGATATCCTGATTCCGGACTTCGAGGTTGGATGCAAGGTGCGTTAGACTCGATGAAGCTGCAAGACCTAGACACTGACATTGATTTTATTAGCGACGAATTTTCAATGACGGATATCTCGAATCCCTTCACAGTGCCAATCTTGATCTCACAACGGCCAAAATTCTTGAGATCGTTCCAGAAGGCGTGCGAACTTCCGACGGAGTCATTCCTGCCGACGTCATTGTCTTAGCAACGGGTTTCGAAACAAACCAATTCACGCCCTTCATGGACATCATGGGCCGCGATAGAAGCCTGAATGACCACTGGAAGAGATATGATGGGCCCGAAGCTTATAATAGCTCTGCCATGAGTGGCTTCCCAAACTTCTTCATGCTATTCGGGCCCAACGCAGGGACTGGCCATACTTCGGCATTGATGGCTGCAGAAAAGTAAGCGCACTGATTCGCGGACTTGATTACCAACTAATAACACTGAAGCTCCGTCAACTACGCACTCCGTGTCCTTAAGCCAGTCTTCGATAAACGAGCAGACGCCGTCGAGCTTTCTCCGACTGCGGAAGACGAGTATTCCAAGGCGGTTCAAGGTGCCTTACAAAAGCGAGTTTGGAATGCTGGTTGTCAATCAGTAAGTTGCTTTCTCTTCCATCATCGTGTGTTCACGGGACTTACAGTATATCTAACTCTGTGTTAAGTGGTATATAAATGAGAAGAATTGGAATGCGATGGCTTATCCTTGGACTCAAGCCTATTTCTGGTACAGGAGTTTATTTCCAATCAAATCCCATTGGATTAAGAAGGTACGTTATACGTCTCAATATTTACCGGTGGAAAGGACCACAAATTAATGCTTTTCTAGACACGGCCAGGTGGCGCAAAGTCCGGGACCAGCATATATTGGCTGAGCTTGCCGTTTATGCTTGGGTTGGGCGTCTCCTTGGCCTACAAGGAGATACTTTTGGCTGCTGTCCCCAGGAGCCTGGAATTTGGCAACAAGATACTCTCGTTCATTCATGGATGTGCATCTGATATGCTATCCAGACATTAGAGTGGAAGATGGGCTGTTGTCTGTGTTGAGAACTTGGATCATTCAGTATAGAATTTGAAAATAGATTATTATATTAGAATTGTTTCAAGTCCCAGTTGTGTGGTGGTTTTCCACCACCGAGATACATTACGCCTGCTAGTCACGACCCACTTAGAACCTTAACTACCTTTTTCGCCGTCTCCTTCGCCGACCCAGGGTTCTGCCCCGTCACCAAGTTACCGTCGTTCACAGCATAGGAGATAAATGGCAGTGTCGCCTTCATATAGCGGGCACCGCGCTTCTTCAGCTCTTCCTCCACATTGTAGGGCACCAGCTTATTCACGCGCGCCAGCAATTCCTCCCTCCACGAGAACCCCGTCAACTTGCGCCCAGCCACCAAGTACGACCCGTCAGAAAGCGTGGTGTTCAATAGGCCGCAGCATCCATGACACACCGAGGCCACGACCCCGCCGCGCTCGAAAATCTCCCGCGTGATGCGCTGTAGGCCTTCGCTGTCTTTGAAATCGTACATCACCCCGTGGCCCCCCGTGAAGTAGATCGCGTCGAAATCGGCCGACTTGATTTGCTCGGGGCTGAATGTGTTCTGGAGCAACACCATCCGTTCCACGTCCGCTTGCCACGTTTTCGCTGTCCTGTCGACATTAGGAAACTTCAGAGACCGAGGCTCAAGGGGGCAGTGGCCGCCCGCTGGGCTGACGATGGTTTGTGTATATCCGCTCGCCT